ATTCCAAAGACATTTTAGGAGATACAATCTCGGATCAGGAGATGCATGTATTACTATTATACATAAAGTGGGATTACGTACTGTACATTTTGTATTGCAAAAGTGATAAGCCTTCAGTATCTAAAAGATGAAATATATGTTTGCAATTCTTAAAGTATATGTTGTTTTTAAATATCAACTTTAGTTTTATTGAGATCTCCTGCTTCTAACAAAAAAATATTAGCCTCTCAAGACACCCTGAATACTTGGAATATATTACTGAACTCTTTTATCTCATTTACCTCCCCTCTCCTCTCCTTTTTCTCTTCTTCTCCTCCTTTTCCTTTTCCTTCTTCCTCTGCTCTTCCTTTAAAATGAGCCTATGCACCCCACTTCATGTATGGAGAATCTGAAGATCACGGAATTTTCATAATCTGCTCAGCAAATACAACCAAGATGCAAAATTCTTAAATCTGGCTTGAAAGGTCCTCTTTCCAGCAAGCTGCCTTTACATTCTATACCAGAGAAGGACCACCATTCCCTTTTGAATGCTGTATCTCCTAGTAAGAACCTCCAACCTCCAATTCCAGGTACCTGACTTAGTGTTTTCCAGGCTCTTTAATGGATGCCTCCACAAACAACAAAAATCATCAGACCTATTTGTCACAGGAGAGGCTCTGGTGGCTTAGTGGTAAGGAGGAGCCCTAACAGCCCAAAGCCATGTGGCGTGAATTCAGCAGAGTCTCCCTGAGAGAAAGATGGACAATCACTTCCTGTGCAGTTTACTGCCTCTAAAAATTCACTGAAGGCCCAGAGGTGCACGGTTCAAATCCACCAGATGCTGTGCCGGGAAAGGAGGGACAACCTCCTCCTGTACCAGTCAGATCCAATTTGACGGTACGCGCACACACACACATAAAATAATAAAAAGAAATTTTTAAAAAAACCTCTCATTTTTAAAAAAAATTCACTGAAGGGTCAGCTAGAGATCAGTTATGACTCATGGAAACATAGAAAAAAAATTCTCATACTTTTTTTTCCTTGACCAGACAATTTCATTAAAACAATTGTACACAAAGAGAGGAGAAAATTACAAGAGGCATAACATCAGAGCTCAAATTAATTAAATTCTAAATAGACAACTAAATTTTTCTGACTGTAATAAGTAATTTAAACTTTTTTTCTGCAATTGGACACAATATATCTTATTAAACTAATATAGTAGTTGATATCATAAGTCTTATTAAAGTAAAAAGAACCCAAATTACGTTTTCACAGATAACCTCTGTTACTGTTACGCACATCTTTCCAGATTTCAGATGAGCATGTACTCATTCTTCTTTCCAAATAGCATCCTGCAATACAGTCTGTGTTTCTATCACTGGGCACCAATATCTGAAATTCTTTTATTCTAATCTGTAGTAAAACTTTGTTATATTTGTGACATGAAGGTATATAATTTATTAATTCTTTAGCACACATTTCTAAAGTGAAATGCCTGAGTCAAAAGATTCACATATTTTAAGTCCTGACACATTTTCCAGAATGATCTCACAAAGCATGCTTCTCTGTACACTCTCACCAGCCATACGGGATTTCCACTATCTCCCTGCTATTGTAAATACAGCTGCCAGAAACATAACCGTGCACGGGAGGTTGATTTGGATACGCCGATGTTATATTCCAGCTTTGTCAGTTTACCAGTTGTGCGATCTTAGACAAATTACTTTTCTCTGTATCCATTTCCTTGGAAATAATAATTATATTATTTTTATGGGCGATATTGTATTTGATAAGTAAATAATATATGCTAAATATGCAAAACTGTGCCTGACCCATAGCAAGAATTCACTATGCGCTAGCTATTAAAATTCTTTTTATTTAACATTTCAGAACTCTTTTCTGTTTAAACAATCTACAGATTTTCTTCAGCATACAATATAATCACATTGGATGGAATTACAGTTTTGTTACTCCTTTTACAATTCTTGTATGTTTTACTATATTTCTTATATTAGTTTCTAGACCCTCTGGGATAATTAATAGAAGATGTATCAGTGGACAGTTTTATCTTGGATAGCCTCTTATCTTGGATGTTCATATATCTGTTCCTATCAAAGCTCTTATTTCTTTACTAGATATACATCCTTGTGGAATTGCTGGATCAAATGGTATTTCCATTTCTATTTCCAGTTTTGTTTTGTTTTTTAAGAAGTACAAAACTGACTTGCATAGTGTTTGCATTGTTTAACTTTCCCACCTGCAGTGTATGAGCATTTCAAACTCTCCACACCCCCACAGTTGTTATTTATTCTCTTATTAAACTTTGCTATTGTTTGCTGGAGTGAGGGGTGTCTCCTGACTGGCATCTCTCCAGTAGCTAATAATCTTGAGTATTACATCATGTGTTTGTTGAATGTCTTCTGTGATGAAGAGTCATTTCATGTCCTTTGTTACTGGGTTGTTTGTCTTATTTGGGGAGGTGATGGCCTTTTCTATACCTTTTAGAGATCCATCCCTTGTCAGATGTGTCATTGCCGATTACACTTTCCCAGTCTGTAGGCGCTCCTTTGACTCTTTCGGAGAAACCTTTTGATGTGGATAAGAATGAACTTTTCAGAAGGTCTCAGTCATCAAGTTTATCCTCTGCTGGCTGTACATTTTCCTTTCCATTTTATAATCTTTGATTATGCCAAAGATTGACTGTTGTAAATATTCCTTACTTATCACATTCCTCCTCATTAAGTCCTGCTTCCTGACTGATTGGTTCTGCATATATATTGAAAAGGTATGCAGACAGGATACATCCCTGATGCACTCCTTTCCTGATTTTGAACCATGCAGAGTTTCTTTGCTCTGTTCTGAGGACTGTTTCCTGTTCCAAATATAGGTTTTGCATAAGCACAGTCACATGCTCTGGGATTCTCATTCTCCTCAAAGTTAGTCACAATTTGTTGTGATCCACACAGTCCAATGGCTTTGCATACTCAATGAAACACAGATAAACATTCTTCTGCTACTCTGCTTTCAGCCAAGATCTATCTGACACTGGTGATAATATCTTTAGTACCATGACTTCTTCTAAATCCAGCTTCTATTTCTGGAAGTTCTCTGTCAATATATTGTTCCAGCCATTTCTGGATAATCTTCAGCAGGAGTGTGAGTGTGTGTGTGTGTGTGTGTGTGTGTGTGTGTGTGTGATATTAGTGATTTTTTTAAAAAATAATTTCCACATTCCTTTGTCCAGGTAGCTGTCCTCCAGATTTCTTGACACAACCTGGTGAGCACATCCAGGGCAGCACCTGTCTGTTGAAATATGTCAGTTGGTATGCCATCAATTCCTGGGGCCTTTGTAGTTTGGGGTTTTTTTTTGCCAGTTCCTTCAGAGCAGTCTGCACTTTCTCCTTCATCATCATTGCCTCTTGATCATATGTTGTTTCTCAAAATTCTTCTGTGTCAGCCAATTCTTTCTGGTACAGTGACTCTGTGTACTCCTTCCATCTTCTTTTTTTCTTCCTGGGTCATTCAATATTCTGCCCATAGCATCCTCAAGCATTGCAACTCAAGACTTGTATTTGTTCTTCAATTCCTTCAGCTTAAGAAGTGCTGAGCAAGTTCAGTTCTTTTTATTTTCTGACACCAGCTCTTTGTACAAGTTATTATAATACTTAGCTTTTTCTTCCCACACTGCCCTCTGAAATCTTCTGTTCAGATCCTTAATTTCTTTATTTTTTCATTTTGCTTTGGCTTCTCGGAGCTCTAATGCAATATTCAGAGTCTCTTCTGACCTCCATCTCCATCTGTTCTTCCTTCTCTATCTTTGTAATGAACTTTTGCATCCTTTGTGGATGATAATTTTTATATCCTTCCAGAGCTCATCTGATCTTCATTCATGAGTGTTCAAGGCTTCTAATTTCTTCCTGAGATGGTTTTGAAATTCAAGTGGGATAGACTCAAGGTCAAATTCTGGTTCCTATGAATTTGATTTGACCTTCTTTAGCTTTAGTTTGAACTTGAATATGAGTTGTTGACGGTCTGTTCCACAATCAATGCCTCAATTAGTGTTTGCAGCTGATACTGAGCTTCTCCAATTATTCTTTCCACACATGTAATAAATCTGATTCCTGCACATAACATCTGTCGAAGTCTGTATGTATAGTCTATGTTTCTTATAGAAGATATTTGCAATTAATAAATCACTGATCATGCATAACTTTATCATCCTATCTCCCAACACTAAAAATTAAAAGCACTAAAAACCATATACTTCGCTCTCCATTCAACTCTGACTTAAGGTGACCACACATCACCAACTAGAACTGCTCCATGGGGTGTTCTAGGCTCCAGTCTTTATGGTATGAGTTCACTAGGACTTTCTTCTGCTGAGCCCCCAAGTGGATTCAAACTGCAAAAGGCATGAGCCAGCCAGGTTCCTCATTTAGCTTTTACCTGCTCGGTAATTCCATTAACCAGTGCATTGTCAAAGACAAGTCTCTTTAGTCCTCCCATCTAGTAAATTAGTACAGTGGAAAGACCTCTGGAATCAGAGAACAGATAGGTGTTCAAATTGTTGATTTCCTGCTTATGAAGGTAATCAATCATAACCGCTCTGTAGACCTCAGAGACATCTTTAGAATCAAGACCAAGATGAAATGTACGTAAACAAAATTTGGTAGAATTGTAGACATAATAAGATACTTGTCTAGAATGGAAGATAAATTTTTTTCTGTAAATCAACCACAGTTGACCTTCGTCTCTAGTATAATAATCACAATACAAGATCCTTGAGAGTGATGCTTCTTCCTATGAACCCAGAGTATTTACAGCAACAAGGAATTGCAAGAACACTTTCTAGTACACCATATATAATGTTGTAGCCCAGATTTTCTAGCAGTCATGGTATTATAGATACAAAATCTTATAAAAATATGTAATAAATGCGGTTTCTGCCTCATGGTACCATACTTTTGAAGCTAACATCCCTTCTCTCAAGGCAGACCTGCAAGAGGGGATTTCCCACCATGGGCCAGCACAACTACACCAATGTGAAGGAATTCGTTTTCCTGGAACTCACTCACTTTCAGGAGCTGGAATATTTTCTGTTTGCTGTCTTCCTGGTTGTGTACATAACAACAGTGCTGGGAAACACGCTCATTGTGGTCACTGTCACCTTTGAGTCTCGCCTCCACACGCCCATGTACTTTCTCCTCAGAAATAAATCAGTCCTAGACATTGTCTTTTCATCCATCACTGTCCCCAAGTTCCTGATGGATCTTTTATCAAAGAAGAAGGCTATCTCCTACAATGGCTGCTTTGCACAGATCTTTTTCTTCCACTTTGCTGGTGGCGCAGATATTTTCTTCCTCTCTGTCATGGCCTATGACAGGTACCTTGCAATCGCCAAGCCCCTCCACTATGTGAGCATTATGAGGAGAGAGGTGTGGTTGACCTTGGTGGTGGCCTCCTGGGTGGGAGGTGGTCTGCATTCAATTGTCCAGGTAATTCTGATGATTCCACTGCCCTTCTGTGGGCCCAATGTTTTAGATGCCTTCTACTGTGATGTGCCCCAGGTGGTGAAACTGGCCTGTACAGACACCTTTGTTCTGGAGCTCCTCATGGTCTCCAACAATGGCCTAGTGACTCTGCTGTGGTTCCTCCTGCTCCTCGGGTCTTACACGGTTATCCTGGTGATGCTTCGGTCCCACACTGGAGAAGGACGCAACAAAGCCCTCTCTACTTGTACCTCTCACATCATGGTCGTGACTCTACACTTCGTGCCCTGTGTTTACATTTATTGTCGGCCCTTCATTACTCTGCCCATGGACACAGCCATCTCCATCAACAACACAGTCATCACTCCCATGCTGAACCCCATGATCTACACGCTGAGGAACCACGAGATGAAGTCAGCCATGAGGAGACTACAAAGGCGGCTCTGGTCTACTGAGAGCAATAAACTAAGGTGAGGTTCAGACTGAGACCGAAAAGCAAATGTTCTCTAACTTGTAGCCTAACACTAAGACAGCTGGTTCATGTCTTGTCATTAACTTCCCTGTATGTCCTCAGACCACTCAATCATATTGTCGTTTATGTTGGTTACAGTAAAATGTACCTCATACTTCATTGATGAAGACTCCATAAACAATAGGAATTCTACCTGGTCTTACATTATGTCCATGACAATTGCAGAATAAAGTGTGATATTTTGGGAAGTTCATCACCAGGCCTTTATCTCTAGTTTATCTTACTTTGATGTACAGTTCATTTATGTCATCATTTCTTCCATTCTCTTTTGCAGCTTCTCATTCAAAGGCACACTTCACATACACCTCCTGAGACTTCTTATCTCCTTCGTCTAAGAAATAAAATGCTTATTGGTTTCACTCTTAAAATAAAATACAACTGTAAGTCCATCTGACTCGAAGGATTAACTTTGAGTATTTAAAGTAATATGAGATCATTTCTATCATAATGTTCCTGTGTTTTCAAATATTAATCCCTATAAATCAATTAACTACGCCCAGCTATTCTGAGCTCTTATGTCCTAGTGGTAAGAAGCAGCACTGCAATCCCAAAAGAATAAGGTTCAAATTCACCTGCTGCCCCATGAAGAAGGATAAGCAATCTCCTTTAGCTAGATCTACTGTCTCTGAAAACCCACTGGAGAATCAGCTATGAATTGTTTCTGACTACACAGCAAACAATATTATGTAATGAGATTTAATGCCACTTTGATGACAAAGGTGCACCTGAGTCAGGCAATGGCCTTTTTAATCACTATAGGGCTTTTGTATCTCTAGTTAGGTTCACTCCCAAGTATCTCAATTTGTGGTTGGTTATTGAAAATGGTATTGCTTTCTTGACTTCCTTCTCCGAGTTCTCATTGTAGAAGAATGCTAATGATTTTTTTATATTGAGCTTATATTCTGCCACTCTACTAAATTGGCCTACTAACTCACTCTACCAGATTTCTGGTGAGTCTTAGGGGTTTTCTGTATACATTACCATATCACCTTCAGATAGCCAAGAGTTTAACCATCTCTTTGCTGATCTGGATGCCTTTTATTTCCTTCTCTTGTCATATTGTCCTAGCAAGACTTCCAATACAATATTGAATAGGAGTGATGACAGTGGGTATCCTTAAATATGATGGATTTTTGTCACCAAGTTCTGCTTCCTCAAGGATTGTTCCCAGGCACCCTGACCAAACAAAACCACTGTGATAATTCCCCCTACTCTTTCTCTTTGGAACGCATCATCAGAATGTTAATTATATGTTCCATGTAAACTTTCCTCAATCAAATGCGGCATCAGCTGCCTGGCATTACTATATCCTCAGTATCTAGCATTATGCATGATGTTCAGTGAGCACTAAATACATATTTTCTGTTGATTGTTATAGATTCTTTTGAGCAAAATCACTTAGCCAACCAAAATTATGAGCATTGAGCACTTGTTATATGAAATTAACTCTTTAATGATACACTTGCCACAATTGCCCCAGGACATTGGATCAAATTCAATGTCCTTGAGTGCAACTCAGGGCACTTGACTCTGGCATTCCCCAGGTTCTCCTGTAAGTGAATTCAAAACCATCTCAATAATCATCATATCATAATGTGTGTGTGTGTGTGTGTGTGCGTGCGTGCGCACGCACACGCACACACACGTGAATGCATATGAGAGACAGAGGGCAAGTGTCTTTTTGCTTAGTCACTTAGAAACCTTTTAATAACTCCCATTGCATCTGCAATTGATAGGTTCTCTAGTGGAAACCACATTCCCTGTAAATACCCAAACCTATTCCTTACGCTTGGTGTTATATTCAAATTCTAAACCAATGTCTAAGGAAGCAATGTAGACTGTGCCTGTCTTCTGGTGAAGAAGGCAGAGCAGTGAAGATGAGGAACCTGGCAAGCTCATCTGTCTAAGCACAAAAAAAGGTGAGACTATTCCAAAGGCACTTTAGGAGATACAACATCAGATCAGGAGATGCATGTATTATTATTATATAGAATATGTGATTACATACTATATATTTTTTTCTTGCAAAAGTGATCAGTCTTCAGTATCTAAATGAAGAAATATATGTTTGAAATACTTAAAGTCTATGTAGTTTTTAAATGTCAGCTTTAGTTTTGTTATTTCCTTACTCTAACAAAAATATTAGCCTCTCAAGACACTTGGAATACGATGAACATATTATTTAACTCTTTCATCTCTTTTAACTTCTCAATTCCTTTCATTTCTTCTCTAGCTTTTGCCTCCCTCCCTTCCTTATTTTCCTCTGCATTCTTCTTCTCTTCCTTTAAAATGAGCTTATGCTCCCCACTTCATGTATAGAGAACCTGACGATTGTGGAATTTTAATAACCTGCTCAGCAAGTATAATCAAAACCTAAAATTCTTAAATCTGGCTTGAAAGATCTTCCTTCCAGCAATTGCCTCTAGGTTGAGTAACAGAGAAGGATCACTATTCTCTCTTGACCTGACAATGTGTCTCAGAGTCAAAACCTCAAGCCTCAGTTTCCAGGTGCCTGACTTGGTATTTCCCAGGCTCTTTAACGGATGTCTGTACACATACCAAAAATAATCAGACCTGTTCCTCACACAAGAAGCTCTTGGGGCTTAACTGGTAAGGAGGTCTCCTAACCACCCAAAGCCATGTAGCTTGGATTCACCAGATTCTCCATGAGGGAAAGACGGGCAATCTTTTGCTATGCAATTAACTGCCTCTAAAAATTTGCTGGAGATAGATCAGTTCTGACTCAAGGAGACATAACAAAACAATTTCTCGTGCATTTTTTCCCTTGGGCAGACAATTTCATTAAAACAATTTTACATAAAAAGAGAAGAAAATTACAAGAGGCATAATATCAGAGCTCAAATTAATTAAGGCATCATTTCAAATTCTAAATAACGAAGTTTTTCTGACTATAAAAAGTACAAGTAATTTAAACTTTATTTCTGCAATTGGACACAATATATCTCATTAAACTAATACAGTAATTGATATCATAAGTCTTATTAAAGTAAAAAGAACCCAAATTACGTTTTCATAGATAACCTCTGTTACTGTTACGCACATCTTTCCAGATTTCAGATGAGCATGTACTCATTCTTCTTCCCAAATAGCATCCTGCAATACAGTCTGTGTTTCTATCACTGGATACTAATATTTAAAATTCATTTATTCTAATCTTTAATAAAACTTTTTTATATTTATGAAGTGAAAGTATGTAATTTATTAACTCTTTAGCACACATTTCTAAAGTAAAATATCTGAGTCAAAAGATTCACGTATTTTAAGTTCTGACACATTTTCCAGAATGATCTCACAAATTTTGCTCCTATATACACTCTCACCAGCCATATGGGATTTCCACTATCTGCCTCCTATTGTAAATACAGCTGCAATAAACATAAGCATGCACAGGAGGTTAATTTTGGTATGCTGAGTTTATATCCTAGCTTTGTCAGTTTACTAATTGTACAATCTTAGACAAGTTACTTTTTCTGTATCAATTTTCTCTGGAAGTAATAATTACATTATTCTTATGGAAGATATTGTATTTGATGTTATTGTTGTTGATTGCCATCGAGTCGAGCACAACTCATAGCGACCCTATGAACAAAGGCCTGAAGCCTTTCTATAACTATCATAATTTATCAAAGTTCATAGAGTTTCCAAGGCATGTTGTTTAGGAAGTAGATGCCACACTAAGTAAATTATACATGCTAAGTATGAACAACAGTTCCTGGTCCATAGCAAGAATTTAGCATGTGCTATTAAAATTCTTTTTGTTTAACATTTCAGAACTTTATTTTATGTTTAAACAATGTATAGATTTTCTTGAACATACAATATAATCACATTGTATGGAATTACAGCTTTGTTACTTCTTTAAAGATTCTTGTATTTTTACTTTGTCTCTTATATTGGTTTCTCGAACCTCTGGGGTAATATTAAATAGAAGTGTCCGTAGGACAGCCTTATCTTGCATAGACTGTTATCTTGGATGTTCATATATCTATTCCTATCAAAGCTCTTATTTCTTTACTAGATATACATCCTTGTGAAATTACTGGATCAAATGGTATTTCTATTTCCAGGCTTTTTTTTTTTAAAGTGCAAAACTGATTTGCATAGTGGTCGCATTGTTTAACATTCTCACCTGTAGTGTATAAACATTTCATTGTATCTAAACCCTCACGTTTGTTATTTACTATCCTATTAAACTTTGCTATTGTTTGTGGGAGGTAGTATCTCATTGGTATTTGCACCTCTCTAGTAGCCAATAATCTTTTGTATTGCTTCATGAGTTTGCTCCTTGATAGTCTTTCCATGGACTTTGCCCATTTTGTAATTGGGTTTTCTTTTTTTGTTGAGGTGTTTGAATTTTCTATAAATTTTAGAGATTCTTCCCTAGTAAGATGTACCATTGCCAATTACAGTTTTCCTCCTTTGAATCTTTTGGAGAAATCTTTTGATGTGGATAAAGATTACATTTTCAGAAGGTCTCAGTCATCATGTTTTTCCTATGCTATCTGTGCATTTTCATTTCTGTTTGATAGTCTTTGATTATGCCAACGATTGGGTGTCCTAAATTCTCCCAGTTATATCTTTAGTTATCTCTATAACTTTAAAATTATGCCTAGGTCCTTGACTCATGTTAAGTTTGTTTCAGTATAGCATATGAGGTATGACTCTTGTTTCAATATTCTGCAAATAGATGTCCTATTTTTCCAGTACCAGTTAGAGTCTGGTTTTGACCCATTTAATTGATCTCATCTCTTTATCGACAATCAGGTATCCATACGTGGATGAAGAATCTTTTGAGCTCTCAATTATCTTCCCTCACTCTATGCATTTGCAACTGTATCAGTATCACACTTTTTATTACAAAATGGAATAGATGATCATATATTTATCATCATAAACTGATCACTTTACTATAAACAGCTTA